GCTGTTAAAAGCCCCTCCGCTACGCGATTAGCATGTGCTATGGGAACTTGGGTTTTTCTTTTCACAGTGCAAGTAGCAAATCTTTGAGTCTCTTATTGGAACCTTGACGTTGGCTCCGGGTTGTCAGAGGAGCTCAGCTGAAAGGGAATGGGAGAGAATCAGGAGCATGGTGAGAGGAAGAGGAGGAGGCGGTGCAGCCCCAGCAGGGCTGTGCCTGCCCCCCATTTCCTCACGTGCTCCGCATGTGATGTGTGGGTCCTGCATGGCGCTGCAGCCGTGTGCCAGAGCTCCCAGAGAGGACGCTGAACTCTGCGCTTTTGCTCACAGACCCTGTGGAGAACCACTAAGCCGGGGTGGATTTCCAGCAGGCATGGAGGTGGCCTTCAGCAAAGGGTTTGAGATGACTGCGGAAGGAAGGCTGCTCGTTTAAGAAGCTGTTACAATAACGAAGGGCGAAAGAGTTTCCCTGAGCAATAGTGTGCCTCTCCTGGGTTAGTTCGTCACGGAACACCACACAAAGCCGGTCCGGCTCTTGACCCTTTGGTTCTTTCAGGGTAGTATGGGGGTAGCGAGACTCTCGGTGGTACCATCGGTCTTGATGTGAGGGAAGACCTGGGCTTGGCTTTCTCAGTGAGTCTCAGTCCTGGGGCTCATTCACACGAGTGAGGGCTTTGAAGGTCTGCTTCTGAGTAGCTGCTTCCTTATTTTGCAGTGTGCTTGATATTAAGACTGTAGAAAAGTGCAGGGACTTGATTCACGTGTACAGAAAAACAGACGCTTGTGCAAACGAAACAAAACTGGGTGGAGGTGCAGATGGCAGCAGAGTCGGGAAAATAATACAGAATTGGGATTCTTTTGGGCCTGAGCATTGCTTGTTAATTGGGCAGGGAAGAAGAGGCCACTTAGCTTTTGTAGTTCTTTATTGTGTGTAAGTACCGGTCCAGGGCGTGGTAATGCATGCGCAGACATATTTTGATGTGTAGATTTACTTCTGAATTAATCGTGCATCTGGAAGAAAAACAGGAAAAGGAAATTGCTGAGTAGGTGCAGCTTAGAAATAAATGATGTAAAAGTACTGAAACTGGAATTGCAGAAAAAAATAGTCTGCATGAACGGCAGCTACCCACACTTCATAGATCCAAGTGAGCTGCCTTCCCTGGGTACGTCCTGGTAGGATCTTGTGTAAGGAGTCTCCAGCTCAGAATTTGTGTGAATATGGTATTTTAAAGGGCTGAGGTTTCTCTCCTCCAGCAGAACATGCTGTTCTACTGCACATCTCTCTGTTACCAAGAAAATACATTTTTATTAGACAGCAAGTGCCCAGGTGAACAGGTGTAGGTGCAGAAAACATACTTAAATGCTTGGAAAAATGGAAACAGTTGGCTCTTTAGAGCCCGGCAGTAAGTAAAGGCTTCTGATGTCAAGCATGATTCTTTAGGTTTTTAAATGTTTGACTAGGCTTTTTACTTTTTAAATCCTGGCACAGCATTTTTCTTACCTTCTGATTGGCTATAGAGGGTGTATCACTTGCATCTTGTCGTGACATTTATCTAAACCAAATGGGGTCCTTAAATTGTGTTGTGTCTGGTGAGATGCTGTTTTTTTGACAACTGTGTCGCCCTTAACACTGACACAGGCTGGACTTTCTGTTCAATGACATGTCCTGCTTATGGGTCATTTTTGAGTATGCAGGGAAAAATCTCATGCAGCTGCACTGTCAGGAAGTAAAATGTATACCCTTATGTGAAGATCCCCAAGTAGTTTCTTACATCCTAACTCTGGGTCTCTCCTTCTCCGTGACTGCTAATTCCCAGGCATTTAGAGGATTATATTTCTCCAAACTGTTCTAGGGTTACCTGATGTGAGACCCCATGCTTTTGTCTTTTGCACTGTTGGGAAAGGGCTGGGGAAAGTTCTGCAAAACCCTTTTTGCGCTACAGTCTGGTTCACAAGAAGGACCTGAAATCCAAGAGATCTTCTGCTCTAGATGTTCCTTCCATTAACATTTCTGCCACAGAGCACAATCCTAGAGCCAGGGAATGGAGCTGCCTTGGCTGTGAAAAGCACATGGAGGTATCTGGGGAGCCTGGTCTGCCTTTCCAAGGGGTAAGGAAGGTTTTGGCAAGGGCACTATCCACTGGGCTCTTTTCCAGTGTGGAACTGTAAGGATCCTAACGACTTCCTTCTTCCACATGGTGCCACCCCAGGATTAATTTTATGCCTAAGGGGAAATCCCCCAGTGCTGTCTAATAACCATCTCTTCTGCCTCTGATCAAGCACTGCAAGTTGACTGTGAAGCCAAGTTGTGATCTGTGTAGGGACAAGTGATGACACTTGGTGTCTTGCTGGCCCTATGGCAGTACCACCACTGCTGTGTGGGAAGATTTGGATTTGGACCCTAAGTGCTTCAGGACCTCGCTTTGGGGACACTCTTGCTACTGGGCATCCCCAAGGATCTCACATGAAAGGCATCTCAGTGGAGGGCAGCAGCTGAATGTAGGCCCCCTGTCCCCACTGGGGCCGGAAGGTCCCTGGAAGCTGGGAATGCTGAGGGGCTGCGGATGCTTCCTCAGTGTGGGGTGCTGGGCTGTGGGGCTGCTGAGCTGCGGTGGGGACTGCTTTAAGCACACTGACTCATACGAGTTGGTGCCTGGCGTTACCATAGAAATCGGATCAGCTGCTAGGGGTGGGGAGTCCTTGTCCTTTGGCTCCACCGCTGCATGGTTCCAGCATGAGCTCACAGTGCAAGGGAACCTGATGTCTTGCTCCTTATCCCTTCGAGATCAGAGGTCAGACAGCTCTCGCGGCCCTCACCAGAGAGGAGGGAATAATTTTGCCTGGGTCTCTGCTTGGCTGCAGTGGTCAGACCCTGTGTGTTTGCTGTGCTGTCTCGGTGACCTGCTGTCCATATATATCTTGCTCTTTCATATTTCAGGAAACTTATTTCATTTGCTTAGCAATAGCTCCCAGCCCTTTGGGAGCCCCAGAGAGGTGAAAACTGGTTGTAAACTGATGAGTAGCAGATAAGGGAGGACAGGAATTAAGGAGGTGGAATGATCCAGAGGGAGGGAACAAACACTGAGTATCCAATTTCCTGTACTCTCAAAATGCATTCCTAAGCTTGGTCATGAGTGTTGCCCCAAGCATGGACATGACGCCTTCTGATGCTCAGTCTCTCACAGTTCTTGTCCTCTGTGCTCACTTCTGTGTAACTGTTCTGTCATCTTCTCTGGATAAATATACACATTCAAGCTCTAGGGATGGAAGATGGAAGACGCAAAACATGGTTGCCCACCCTCCATTCTGCTAAAGGAAGTAACTTTACTGTGAATATAATCTTTCCACACAAAGGCGTTGTGCCTCTTCAGATCATCTTTGAACCCTTTGCTCTCCTCGTAATACAAAACAAGCACAAGCCTGCCTAAGAAACAGCATTACAGAGTCTTGCTGATGCAAGGTGTCATTTTGTTTTGCTACAGTTCTTCTTGGCTTGCTGCCTGTTGTCTGTGTGGTCTGTGTGAGCAATCCAGATCTCTGTATTTGTACTTTCCAGGACGTTGGCATTAGAGGATAACAGCTAGGGGGTCACCCCTCAGAACTGGTACCCTTAGGAGGTGCTATATGTTATGCTAGCTCAGTCCTGGGTTTGACACATCTTCTGCTCCAGGTGAGAATGAGAAATACTTGGAATCAACAGCAAACACACTGAGCTGTCTGTTTCTTGGACCCCTGTAATTCCTTGGTCTCCCGAGTATTATGGCATGCTTGGTGAAAAATATTCATTCTAGCAATATGGCTTTGATGTAAAGAGATGATTCTTGCTGCTTGCTGTCATGTAGGAGAAAGGATTTGCTGGGTGATGCTGAAAGGAGATGAAGGTTGTATGTGTGTTGTTCTCCCTCTCTTACTAGCTCAGCCTACAAAATCCTGTTTTAAGAAGCTGTTCACGTCTGTGTTCAGATCCCAGCACACTGAAGCACCCACTTCAGTGTTATTGAGAGCTCTGGCCCTCCCTTATGGGGAGAAGGGGGGGTGATTCCTGGGAAAGCTTCCAGCGCTGGGCCAACTGTGGAAACAGCTGGGCTTTGTGCCAGCCCTTCGGAGGGAGGGGGAGCTCAGAGCTGGTACAGTGAGTGTGTCAGGCTGGGGCTGGTGTAGCCTGTCGCCTTCCACAGTGTCTCGCTGCTGCTTCTGTTTCAGGAGAGAAACTACTCTGGACAGAGCTGTGGTCAAGCAGAGACTCGCTGGGAGGGTTGGTACAGGCTCCTGATGGCCTTTTGATAGCAGTTGGCATGAAAGAATCTGACATATGTCTGACATATGTTGGTGCTCCTGGCTCGGAGGAGGAGGTCCTGCCTGTGTTAAGGGGGAGGGGAAGTATGATCTCTGGATAAGTAAAGATAAGGGAGGACTGAGGAAAATGAGCAAGAAGAGGAAGAGCCTCTGTAAGGAGGTAAACTTGTGATCTGTGTGTCTCATCTAGCAATCTCGGCAGTCCTCATTCTAGACGCTGCAAAATAAACTGCGGTATTTGGGGACCATGGCTACAGACCCACTCTCAGAGCTTCAGGATGACCTGAACTTGGATGATACCAATGAGTCCCTCAGCCAGCTCAAACTGGCCTCCATAGATGAGAAGAGCTGGCCAGCAGATGAAGCCTCTGCTTTTCCCAAATCAGGTAAGTATCCTGCTTTGGGGTCTGGGCTTTGGCCAAAAAAGAATTGTTTGTCCTGCAGCACTGTGGACATATCTATATATACAGAGAGCCCCAGCTCCATCTGAAAGCTTTATGGCCACGTTAATCTTGCACCACACCCAAGTGAATTAGCCCCGCCATCGAACAGCACTAAAAAGCTGAGAGCCAGCTGATGTAAATATACTCTTCTCAGTCCTGTGGCTGGCTGCACTTTGGCGCTGGCAGTACAGATATCCTGTAAGTCCTTGAGTGTCCTCCATTATGGTCTCTTGCAGGATAGTTTGGCCTTCCTGAGTCAAAGGGTCTTGAAATTCCATGTAGGAGGTGGGGCTGGAGATCTGAGTTGTTGCTCTGAAATCCTGTGCTGTGGACTGCTGCCCAAAGAGGTCGGGGAAACTAGCTCAGGGGCATATAGGATGGCCATCTATCACAGGACCATGTTAAGATCCTCCTGCTCCAAAAAGCCATGATGGTGCCCTTGGCACTGGGGTTTTGGTCTTTGTGAATGTTTGTGACACATGTGAACAGTCGTTTTTGAGAGGGTGTCTGAAGAACAGTCTGAGGGGCATGTACAGACCTCATAGGATTGACAGGTCTCTGCTGAAGTCATTCTGAAGTCACTCTTGCCAACTCAGAATTTCAAAGGTGGGTTTCTGAGGTGGACAGGCACATACATTAGTCCCTCCCAATGTCAAAGAGCCATTTCTTCTCATCCCTCTCTCTATTGTGCTTCAGACTCTTTCTTCTAATTGCTTGTTCCTTGTGTTTTGTGCAGAGGACTCCAAAAGCTCCCCTGAGCCCATCACTCACCTGCGGTGGGATGATCCCTACTATGATATCGCCAGGCACCACATTGTGGAAGTAGCAGGTAGTGGTCTTTCTGTTTTCCCCTTTGATGTCTTTGCAGCTGGGCTGAGGAATGGTCTTTCTAATGGGATTGTGCGATCATCTACTATATGCCAGGTCCAAGTGGCAATGACGGCTGGTATTGTAAAGAGAAGGAGCAACAAACTTCTTGAATGTTTGCAATATGTGTAATTTTCTGTTGCAAGTAGGACTTGGTTGCTTTTGCTGAATTGTTTTAGATGTGGCCCTTGACTATATCCTGAGCACAAGATGTGGTTTTTATGTGATAATGCCATAGAAATTACCTAGTTACACAGTACAGCTGCAAGGTCCTCAGCTGACTGAGTAATCCGTGGTAGTTCTGGCAGCTCTCTTATATCTGAATGGCCAGAGCTTGCAATCCTGTCCAGAAACAGCATTTACAGAAATCTGAAACAGGGGTAATAGGCCCATGGCCTACTGCAAGGAAAGACCTGATCATTCAGGGTCCCAAGCATTCAGATTTTCTCTGTCTGGCTGTCTTATCCGTATTATTTTAATTACACTAACCCTTGGTGATTTACTAATGGGACCTATGTAAGGAAGAGTTTTGGGGGTAGCTTTTAGGTTGCTGTGGTAAGTCTGAGGGAAGGGTAATCCCAATTTGTCTTGTTCCTTGTTTAAAAAAAAGTGCCACTTCAACCTGTTGTGACTTGATTCACACTTCCTCCTTGGTTATCTGTAGCCACCTCCTACCCCTCCTATTGCCATTGGTCCCTGCCCCACATGTGAATTTGCAGTGAAGCAGAGGCACAAGCTGGAGTCCTCCTGATTCAGGGTTCTGCAGCAGGGTTTGACCACAGAGAGAAGATTTTCAGGCACTTACCTTGGTAAGAGTTGTCCTGACAACATTCTTTTCTGCGATGTCTTATTCTAGAATGAGCTTTCTTTCTTTTGGAGAACAAAATTATAATGTCAAACTCAAAACTTCGTTGTCCTTTGTCTCCTGTGTGCCTCTGGCTGCTCAGGTTGACAAGGCCAGGTGTTTAGCATTTGGGCCATTATGTCTTCTAGATTTGCCACAAGTGCTTTCATTTGCAAATGTGTTAGTAACCTTTTTTTCCATGGGGCTGGATTTTCAGGACTGGGGTGTAGAGAGATCTGCACCCTGGTCTCCCTGCTGCTGAAACTGGGAAGGGACAGATGTGTGGACTCCACCGTTTCAGTGATAATAGCTAGAATATTTGGAATGTGAATGGCAGAGGTAACTGGTGTTTCTGGACTCTGGGAGCTGGTGAGTTAAATGATACTGTTGTTTCAGTTCAGACAAAGCTTCAGACAAAGTGCTTAGCAGAGAGTTTAGATCAGAGACGTTGATAAGACTGGAATGTCAGCCCAAACCGAGGATGTATTTTCGTGATGTAAGCACCAGTCTTTCTGCTGGATTTCTGTTCTGAGGTAACGTGATATTTGTTTTCCCAAGCTCTTTGAATGAAGTATCACTGCAGTGGAGGTGTGTCTCAGTGGCTGTTGGAATGCAGCCATTTGACACGTTGTCTAGGATAGCAGATGAAGAATTTGCTAACTTCCTGAAAGGATTTCGTGGTGGTATCATGGCTGAGCGGGAGCTGTGCCTGCGTTCTGAAAGAGATCTCTTCCCCGTCATGGTTTAAATCTGCATTTCTAGTGGGCTCTCTGTCCCTGTCATGTCTCTGTATAGTGCAGCAGCAGTTCAGAGACGCTTCTCTTGTTGGCTGGTCCTGGCCAATTTTCACCAGTAGCTGGTTTATCTGAAAGCCTGCAATGGTCCTGCACAAAGAACATGGTGCAATGCCTTTCTTGGCACTGGAAGAGCTCAGCTCCAGATAGCGGATTTGCTGCCCCATAGTTTTGAGACTCGGTGGTGTCTCATCACCTGGAAGTAGGATTTATGAAGTTGATCAAAGGGGCCTGAGTTGTAATCTGGGCTCTGAGCTGAAGCTGTTTGTTCCATTTTCTTGGTCAATAATTAAAAACATTAACTGGAGAATGAGACAGGGTAATGTTCTCCGGGCTGTTGTTGGAGGCAAACAATCTGGGAAAATCTGGGAAAATCCTCTTAGAAGTAGCCTGGAGAATCAAAATCTTTCTGGAGGATTAATATGAAACTGTTTGGATCTGGCTCTACCGAAAAGTTGTGCTTGTCAGCGCCTTCAGGTGCAATGAATGCTCACCATGCTGAGCCTGAAACAAAACAGCTCCACCCCAGTTCTCTTGTAAATATTAGCAGCAGTAACAGCAGCAGATCAAGGGTAGTTTTATCCATTCTGCTGATTCATGAGCTTTCTCTTCCATGTCCTTCCCTGTTCTGCACTTCAGAACAGAAAGCATATGGCTAACTCTGTTCCTGCCTTCCCTGAAATATATTTTGGGATGGTGATGCTATTTTGAGACAAAAGCAGAAGGCTGGTTCCCATCCTCAGGCTGAACTCCGTGATCCCAGGCTTACCCTGTGTGGCCAGAAAAGTAATTGCTTCTCGTGGGATGGGTGCATGGTGTTAATAACTTATTAAAAGCCCAGCTTTGATGACAAAAAGTTAGCATGCTGACCTTTGTTTCTGACCTTAAGTTCAAGGCACTTTGGATTTGAATATCATGGCTATCTGGCCTGAAGAAGGAAAATCGTATCGAAAAATGTTCTGCAGAATTTGCGAGAAAAACAAGGGGTTTGGGTTTGTTTTTCACTTAAAAATAGTGCAGTGATTTCATGGAGACTCTCCTTTGTGCCCTCTGCTCCTGTCTCTTCGGGGGACTGGGATCTTCCTGGAAGAGGCTGTCCATGGGGAAGGAGCATGTCATTGCTGTAACTGTATGGTGGTGTGTCACAGGAAGATGGCAGCAAAAGGCATCCAGGCCACAGCTCCGAGGGAGTCCTGTGGCGTTGTTATGAATCAGAATATTGTAATTTTAGGAAACCTTCTTTTGGTTCTGGGATTCAATGCTTTTCTGAGGGAAGTAGATGATACTCTGCCTATCCTTTCAGGCCTATGTTAAAGTGTGTGTTTCTGGAGTGTTTTACGCAGGCTCTGGAGAGGTCTCTGTGTGGTTGTGCTCTTCTTGACTCTGAGTTCCTTTTTTTGTAAGTATTACAGGAAAGAAATTCGTCTTCACATGTGGCTAGAAGTTGGAACACAGGCCGCTCGATTTCACTGGACAAACCACTTCTGCAAAGTGTGGGTTTTTTCCTTGCTCACATCATACAGCGTTTGGAGGAAGTAAAGGCTTCTGGCTGAAGGCTGTTAAGGAGCTATCCCAAATTTCTGTTACTTTGAAGAGTTTCTGTGTCTTCTTGCTAATTCTTACATGGCAAAGGTGCTGCCATCTCTTTTGGGGTTGAGGGTGACAAAATCTTGGCCTTGAATTTCAGCAGAGGCTGAACTGCAAGAATATCGCAGATATTTAATAACAGTCTGAAGGAGGTCTCTGGAAGATGTCAGTGCCTGCTGGAAACCTGGGGCTGTGTGGGAAGAGCAGGGCTCTTGGCAGCTCTCTGGCAATGTGTTCCTTCCTCGTTCTTCTGCCCAGTCCAAAATACTGGTCTCATCTTTGTGGTCAATATGCAAACCTCTAGCTAGGAGGTACATCAGCATTCCCATTTTACACAATAACTGTCTTCTTCCTTTTGGGATAAGAAAACTGGGGCTTAACATATGATTGGCGTATGAATTCGCCGCTGCTGTGGAGGCTGGAAGTTGGCGTAGCAGTTGTCAGGAGAGTGGCCATTGCTATTTACTTCAGCTATGTAGTCCCTGCCCTGTAGTGACTTCAAAGCTTTGCTGAAGCTCAGAGCATGTTTCTGCTAGTTTTTGTGGTAAATCTGCTGCCTCACACCATTAATTGGCAGTCTGCAGGGCTGCCCTCGCAGAGAAGGCATGATGCTAGTGTGCGTAAGACCTGCAGTTGAAGTGGGAAAGCAAGGTGGAGAGCTGGGGCTCGTACCTTCTTGCATGTTACTAGACTGAAACTGCAGTTTCAACAGTGAATCTTTTTTCAACGGTGAATCTGGTACCAAACCTACCTGAAAAGCATTGTGGTTGGTTGTTGGCTGCAGGTGCCAAAGTTGTAACTATTGCTGAGGATTTGCTGTTGCTCTCGGTGATTGACATGGGGAGGTGAAATCAATCTTGGAGCACCAGTAGCTGTTGTTTTGTTAAGCAGGCAAAGGTAGAAGTTGCAGACAAAACTTGTGTTGGAAGTATGTTGCAGTGTGTCTTTGGCTAATGGTCCTTTTCCCTTCCAGTATAGTACATCATTATTGGCTCCATTAATACAGGGTGCCTGCATTTCTGCTGCTTTTGAATGTAGCTTCTGTCTTTGATTATTTTATTTTATTTTTTTTAGAAGAGTATTTGTATGATAGGGAAGGATGAGTTGCTTCTGTAGAATTGGGCACATCCAAAGCAAGCCCAGCTTGTGCACCATGTTTTGACATGCGAGATCAAGGGAATGGAGAGTTTCTAAGGGATTCTAAGTTACTAAGGAAGACCAAAGGAATGGAGAGTTTCTTTCTAGAGCCCTGCTCTGCTCGGGCTCTTGTCTTGATAGGCCCATGTGGGTCTGTTGTGTATATAGCTGTAAGAATGATGGAAAGGGGCTGGACATGGCAATAAATGATTTTGTAGATCCCTCCCTGCCCAGAGAAGCCTTATTTCTTTTTTCTAATTGGCAGACTTTATTCAGAACCTAGTAAACTTTTTTTTTTTTTAAGTTACGGGTATGTTAAAGATCGAAATTGTCCCTATCTTCAGCTTATTAGTGAAATTTAGCTTCTTCCAAAACAATCTGTTGGATGTTTATTCATACGGTATGATCCCATTCTCTACACGCTTCTGAAGATGTTCAAAAGACCTTGATGTTCAGAATGAATTGCATTTAACTCTTTTAAAAGTGGCAGTACAGCAGTTGCCATTTTGGTGGTAGGGGAAGCGTAACCGTAAGGGCCAGAAATTTGACTGTGATATACAGAATTGCAAATTCAAGAAAGAGACTGGGGAATCATGGGTT